CAACTAAAAGTTGCTAACCCCATTACAAAGGAATTCAAACAAAATTTCAAATAAAAATGGGGAAAGGATTCCTTCACTCAAAATCCCACGTTGTTATTTTTTTTGTTCGTGGTTCTACTTCAAAGCTCCCCGGTTTACAATTCTTATCAAAACCAGAATTATAAGCCGAATATCTAAATTCAAAATCATAAGTGAGATACAAGAGTTTAATTCAAAGCAAACACTAAAATCACCATTAATGAACTATGTTAACCTCATTCCGCAAAGGATACGTAGGTGTGGTTCAAAGTTCAAAACTCTCTTAGAACTACAAGTGGCTTGATTCCTCAACTTAGTATTGAGGTAATTCGGTTAAAATCTTTCCCGAATGTAGCCACAAATCAAATAAACCCAAACTTCCCCTAGAATGATACAAGTAAATTCCACATTATCATAATTAGAATCAAAATGTTTTTCCCTTGTACTAAGAGGATTGTAATTAAGAGATTATTCTTATAATCTTCAATGGATTCAAACTAAAAATAGTAAACTCCTATACTAATAAAATCCTAATGTGGGTGAAATTATGTTGTGTATGAAATAAAAATCTCAATTTAATATTTTGCTCAACAGTTATAATTTACTATCATTTAAAACATATGTTATTTACTTTAAACTCGGGTATGAAAAAAGCTATAATGTATATTTTCCTTTTAACCAAAGTTCTCAAGTAAGAGGCTTTTTAGGTCCAATAGGTAAAAATGTAGCCTTCAGGTTACTAGAGTTATCCAACAAGGTTATAGAGCGTTTAGACCACCCACTCCGGTTCTTTCTCGAATTCTTTCCTTCTTTTCTTCTTCGGTCCCTCATCCAATTCTCGCTCTCTTTTGTTTATTTCTTTCTTCTACTCTGTTCAATTGATGGGATAAGCTCGATAGAGTATGACAAATGGATTTATATATTATGAGTGTGAGTTTGTGCGGATAGAAAGAATTAGGCAATTAATGTTATATATATTGTTGTGTGGGAAAATGTGACGGACACGTGGACGAAGTAGACCGCGACACGTGGTCTTGACTAAATCCCCACAAAACAAGGAACCCTCGACGCTTACGGACCCCCCCTATTCCACTGCGAAGGCCCAAGGACGAAGTCCAAGTTAGGACGACGATCCCTTATGGCGTCAACTGATTGCGCCGTTGACATTGAGAGATGAAGATCTCTCGACTGCAGAAGGGCCACCGAATAAGGCGGTTGGGCTAAGCAGTGCTGACGACGAGAGGAACGTTCTTTGGAGGACATGACGGGTTACGTGCAGAAGTGGAGGAGGTCTGCAGGCATTAATTGTAAGCTGTTAGACCGCTCCCACAGGGGACAGAAGAGTATTACGGAGAAGCACAGAGTCGTAATAGAATACTAATTGGCTGGGTGAACAGTGCTAATTAGTGGGCTACGGCTGGGCCTACCAAAGAAGAGCACTTGAGTGCTTCGACCTATGAAGGAAACCCCGTAAGCAAAGGAAGCCCAATATAAAAGGAGGAAGACCCCCATCAAGGAGAGGGTTCGAAAAACTCCAAAGAAGAACAGATTCAATAAGAACAAGTATTGTAAATTGTGATTTTCCCAAAAGAGAAATACAAGATTACAGTGGATGTAGCTCTCAAACTTATAGAGTGAACCACTATAAATTTTCTTGTGTCATTTATCTATGTATAATTTAGTAAATCCACGCACACACATATCCATCAACTCCTGATACGTTAAACTACACACACACGGCCGGTAATCCGAAGGGAAACCAAGAGGTAATCCGGTCGGTTTTTGTTGGCGAAATTTGACCGTTAACAATTGGCGACTCCACTGGGGAGCGAAAGCGTTCGACCCCCAACAACATAGTGATAAACCGCCGCCCATCCAGGGAATAGCGGGATGGAAGGAGATCTACGCCCGGTCGGAAACGAAGTGCCACCTCCAGACGCGCCACGGCCGGATCCGATGCAGATGCAGGCCCAACTGACCACTCTAACCGAGCTGGTACGTGGACTAATGACCGTGGTGGAGCGCTTAGATGGAAGGAACTCCATGCCGCCATTAGAAGATGCCCCGATGCCGCAGGGACACGCCACGGCCGGAGATCCGAACCACGGCAACTACCCACTTATCCAAGAGGGAACCGGAGATAGTGAGAATCGCCAGGGCCCTCATAGGCCTCGGCCTTCCCAATCTCCCGGCAGCCGTTTGGGGGCCGCCGGACTCCGAGCTCCCGAGGACCGGGTACCGAGAGGTCCAGGAAACCCCGAGATACTATCCCAGAATCCAGGTGGAAACCTGCCAGGAGACTCAGGATCAGTACAGGCAGACAGCCAGGCCCGAGGCAGACCCAACGGTCAGAGGGCGGAAGCGTCGAGAGTAGCCGGCTCGGCCATTTTGACAGAGGAAACACGCGCCATCATGGAACGTATGGCCAGCCTGGAGCAAAAACTGATAGGGGACGTGGCGGGCCTAAAAAAGAATATAGGTCGTGTGGCTGAGGTGGTAAACGTCGATATCACGCCCGGCCGCACACATGACCCCCTCTCCCTGATAAATACAGGTCACCGTCAATCCCACCATATGATGGGCGAGGGGATCTTGACGACCATCTGGAGATGTACACTGGGCACATGCTCTTACACGGTTATGCCGAGGAGATCATGTGCCGAGCCTTTCGAAACCATTTGACGGATTCTGCCCGGAGGTGGTTCCGAACGCTGAGGCCAAACTCTATCTCGAGCTGGGACGAGTTGAAGGAAGCATTTTCCCTCCAATTCATAGGGGTCAAAAAGTACGTCCCCCCAAAGCAGAATCTGACAACGATATACCAAAAGCCAAATGAGTCACTGAGGGAATGGCTCGCAAGGTATGGGGAAGCTGTTGCCGCCACGATGGACATAACAGATAGAGAGGCCTTGATGGGGGCCTTATCTAGCATGAAGAAAATTACCCCGTTCAAAAGAGAGCTAAACCGAAAACCTCCGTCCAGCTACAGGGAGTTTTTGGCGCGAGCGCAGGGGTACATCAACGCCGAAGAGGCGGACGCGAACGACCCCGAGCACCGGACCAACAAGAATAATGCTATGTTTGGTAAGAAGGAAAGAAAATAGGATAGAAAAGAAATATGAAAGTGATGGACAATAGCAATGATGGAAAGGAAATTGATTTTCTTTTATGTTGTTTGGTATGAGAAGATGAAAAGAAAATGAGCTTACCTTCACTTGTTTGGTATTGAAAGTTAAATTGGGAGGAAAGAAAAAATCTTACTCGTAAATTACTTTTATACCTTTAAATTTTTTGCTTGGATGTTGATGGAGAAAATGGTAGTTTAGTAACTTTGCTCACTTTAATGAGTTGTCCCCATTTTTCATCCCATTTTCTGCCCACTTGTGGAAAGAAAAAAAATGGTGGGGCCCACATGTATTATTTTCCACTCTATTTTCTCTTCCTTCCTCTTTTCTCTCCAACCAAACAACCTACATTTTCATTTTCCCTCCCAAAATCCCTCCACCTTCTTCCTTCCTTCTACTTTTCTTTCCTACCAAACATACTATAAAGGAACCGAACAAGGGTCGGCGCCTGCGAAACAGGATGGGAAGAAGCGTCGAGGTGGAGGAAACGGAGACAAGCAGCCCGCCGCGGCGACGAACGCTCCGGAACCCAAAAAGCCGAGGCAAGAGGATACCCATAAGCCTCGACTGTTCCAAAAGTACGATTCCTACCATGAGATAACGGTAGGAGCCGAGGAGGTCTTCAACCAGGTCAGCCGCGGGAACTTGCTGCGCCGACCGGAAGCAATGAAGTCAGATCCAAGCCGAAGGAACCAGAAGAAATTCTGTAGGTTCCATGGCGATGTTGGCCACCACACCAACGATTGTGCCGACCTCAAGGACGAAATCGAAAGAGTGATCCGCGAGGGAAGGTTACAAGAATTCAGGGCCGAACGAAGACCACAAAATGACGGCCATGGTGGGCAGAATGACGGTCGATGCCGAGAGGATAACCAGCGCCCAGAGGATCGCGAACCCGTCGGCGTCATACAGACTGTCTTCGGCGGTCCCTATATAGGAGGAGACTCAAGGAGGTCTTAGAAGGACTACGTCCACGAGGCCAGGGGGGTTTATCGGGAGCGATTCTGGAGCGTCTCCGCTAGAAAAACCCCAAGGTACAGCCACACCGACGTGGCCTTTAACGAGGATGACGCTAGTGGGGTTCATTTCCCCCACAACAATGCCTTGGTGGGGGAAGCCATGATAGGAAACCACCCCGTGTGCAGAATCCTGGTGGACAATGGGAGCTCGGTTGACCGCCTATACTCCGATTGCTTGGAGAAAATGGGGATCCAAAAGGAACAATTGGAGAAAACCTCCAGGCCGCTATATGGTTTCACTGGCGACTCCGTCATCCCTCAAGGGACCATCCGGCTACCCATAACCGCCGGAGAAAAACCTCGACAGGCAACCACAATGGCCAATTTCGTGGTCAAAAAACGAAGCTCCCAGTACAACGCGGTAATCGTGAGACCAACCCTCCAAGCATTAAGAGCAATAACCTCCGTCTACCACCAAAAGGTCAAGTTCCCCACCCCAAATGGCGTAGGGAAAATGAAGAGCAACCAGTATGAAGCTAGGGTTGCGTACTCTAACGCCCTGCGCGGATATGACCAACCAGGAGGACAGGAGACAAGGGTGGTTCACCAAGGCCTTGTCGAGGACATAGACCCCCGGATCCAAGAGGAAGTCACATGGTCTCAACCCGTTGAGCAGTTGGTGGAGATCCAAGTTGGTGAAGGTGAGTCCACCAAAATGCTAAAAGCGGGCTCAGGCTTAGCCCCATCACTTAAAGTTGAGATCGAAAACTTCCTCAGGAAGAACCTAGATGTCTTCGCCTGGAATCATTCTGACATGGAAGGGATCGACACCGAGGTAATATGTCACTCCCTAAACATCGACCCCTGATATCCGCCCAAACGACAGAAACGTCGACCGATGAACCCCGAGAGGTATGAGGCGCTAAAAGAAGAGGTCGACAAGCTGATCAATAATGGCTTCATCAGGGAGTCTCATTACCCTCGTTGGGTATCAAACCCCGTTCTAGTAATCAAGCCCAACGGGAATTGGAGGACATGCGTCGACTTCAGCGATCTCAACAAAGCTTGCCCAAAGGATGGCTTTCCATTCCCTCGCATAGACCAGTTGGTCGACGCCACGGCGGGACATGAGATGCTGAGCTTTATGGACGCTTACTCCGGATACAACCAGATCCCCATGCATCCAGCCGACGAGGAGCACACATCCTTCATAACCGACAGGGGCCTCTACTGCTACAAGGTGATGCCTTTCGGCTGAAAAAATGCAGGGGCTATGTACCAGAGGCTTGTGAATAAAATGTTCGCTCAACAACTCGGCAAAACAATGAAGGTCTATGTTGACGATATGCTAGTAAAAAATACCAGGGCCAGCCATCACGGCAAACATCTAGGGAAAATGTTTGGTGTGTTAAGAAAATACCACATGAAACTCAATCCCCAAAAATGCGCCTTTGAAATTGGGTCAGGAAAATTCCTCGACTTTATGGTCAGCAACCGGGGGATTGAAGCTAACCCCGAGAAAATCAAGGCCCTACAGGATATGCGGTCCCCAATAAAGCCAAAGGAAGTGCAAAGATTAATAGGATGTGTCGCCGCCTTAAATAGGTTCATATCAAAAGCGACCGACAAATGTGTCCCCTTCTTCGACGCTTTGAAAGGAAGCAAGCGCTTTAAATGGATACCCCAATGTGAAGAGGCCTTCTAGAAATTGAAGGAGCATTTGGGAAAGCCCCCAATTTTGTCAAAACCAAACATCGATGAGGAGCTTAGCCTATACCTCTCCGTGTCCCAACACACCGTAAGCTCCGTATTAGTAAGAGAAGAAGAGAGGGTGCAGCTGCCAATCTACTATGTGAGCAAAAGGCTCCTCGACGCCGAGCCAAGATAGAGCGAGATAGAGCGCCTAGCCCTCGCCCTGATGGTAGCTTCAAGGAAGCTTTAGCACTATTTCCAGTCTCACACAATACGGGTTCTCACAAACCACCCGTTGAGACAGGCCCTACAAAAGCCCGAAACTTCCGGTCGACACCTCAAATGGTGGGTAGAATTAAGCCAGTTCGACATAAAATACGTGCCAAGAACTGCGATCAAGGGCTAAGCGCTCGCCGATTTTCTGGCTGAGTTCTCTCATAGGCCAGCTCCCGCCGCATCTGGAGAAGACGAGGTTACAAAATGGAAGCTCTATGTGGATGGGGCGTCGAGTGAAAATGGGTCAGGAGCTGGCGTCCTGTTAATCAGCCCCGAATGTCACAAAATTACCTCGGCGGTCCGATTTAAATTCAAGGCATCAAACAAAGATGCAGAATATGAAGCACTAATTGCCGGACTACGGTTAGCCAGCCACCTAAAAATTGAAAGGCTCAGCGTCTTCAGCGATTCTCAATTGGTCGTCGCGCAAGTAAAGGAAGAATACCAAGCGCGCGGTGAGAAGATGGGAGCGTACTTGAGAAAGGTAAAAGAAGAATTCGTTAAGTTCAAGAATTATGAGATACTCCAGATACCACGAACCGAAAATGTAAACGCCGACGCTCTGACAAAGCTAGCATTTTCTAGAGAATCCGACACACTGGGGGTCGTTCCCATCGAGGAATTGGAGCGACCAACTATAGAAGAAAAGGTTAAGGCATTAATTGTCCGAGTAGGTGAAAGTTGGATGACTCCCCTCATCCAATACCTAATGGATGCACAATTGCCAAACGATAAAGACGAAGCCAGACGGATCAGGGATAGAGCTGCTAGGTACTTATTGTATGACGGCTTGCTCTACCGACGAGGCTACTCAACCCTACTACAGCGGTGCTTGGATGAGGCCGAAGCACAGAAGGTCCTCCACGAAATCCATGAAGGGATCTGCGGTAACCACACTGGGGGGCAATCTTTGGCCCTGAAGGTTTTACGGCAAGGATACTATTGGCCCACGCTAAAAAAGGACGCTTTTCAATACGCCCGACGTTGCGATAAATGCCAAAGGTATGCCACAATTCCTAGAGCGCCCCTAGAACATTTGACATCCATTCTCAGTCCTTGGCCCTTCGCCAAATGGGGGGTTGACCTGATCGGGCTATTACATCTTGCACCCGGAGGATTTAAGTTTGCAATCGTTGCGGTGGACTACTACACAAAGTGGACAGAGGCAAAGGCCCTAGCTACAACCACGGAAGCGGCCTGCACCAAATTCATGTGGGACTACATTGTATGCAGGTTCGGGGTTCTCCACTCAATAGTATCCGACAACGGAAAGCAGTTCGACAACGCCTCAACACGCAGATTCTGCGATGGCTTAGGTTTCCAGAAAGATTTTTCAGCGCCGATCCATCCACAATCAAATGGACAAGTCGAGGCGGTCAATAAGATATTAAAATATACCCTCAAGAAGAAACTCGACGATCTGAAAGGGAAATGGGCTGAGGAACTTCCCAAGGTCTTGTGGGCATACAGAACGATGAGCCAAACTACTACGGGGGAGACACCCTTCTCCATGGCATATGGCGTCAAAGCAGTGCTCCCCATAGAAATCTAAACGCCGACTCTAAGAACCGTCGTCCATAACGACGATGACAGCGCGGAAGGCATGAACGGAGAACTCGACTTATTGGAAGAAAAAAGGCTCGACTCCCAACTGCGTCTCGCTGGCTATCAGCAAAGAACGACGCGATACTACAACAAGAAAGTTCGACAGAGAAGGTTCGTCCAAGGGGACCTAGTGTTGAAAAGGGTAACGCAAAGCATGAAACCCAAGAATACTGGTCCACTGGGCCCAACTTGGGAAGGGCCCTACCGCATAAGGGAAATGCTACGTCCCGGCACTTACATTTTAGAGAGCCTCGACGGCAAAAAGATTCAACACCCGTGGAATGCAGAACAACTAAGGCTGTACTACCAATAATGTATGAAATTCTCACATATCTCAATTATACATTCTTTACAGATTGAATAAATTGACATGTTTGCAGAAGGAAAAGAATTCACCCCTTAATAACATGTATGCTTAAAAAACCAAGGTTATATTAGACAGACATGGGGAGACAGGGGTCCACGGGTTAAAAAAAAACAGAGAAGACGACGACCCCAAGGGGTACAATCGACGTCAGATCCTCCAAGGAGGAAAGACAAAGACTTAGCGAAATTCTAAGGAATTTTCTAAGACGACGACCCCAAGGGATACAATCGACGTCAGATCCTCCAAGGAGGAAAGACAAAGACTTAGCGAAATTCCAAGGAATTTTCTAAGACGACGACCCCAAGGGGTACAATCGACGTCAGATCCTCCAAGGAGGAAAGACAAAGGCTTAGAGAAATTCCAAGGAATTTTCTAAGACGACGACCCCAAGGGGTACACTCGACGTCAGATCTTCCAAAGAGGAAAGGCGAAGACTTAGTAAAATTCTAAGGAGTTCTAAGAAAGCAGCAATTGCAAATCAAGGTATAAATTAAAACTGTTGTCTTTTATATATATGTAAGGATCAGATAAAACAAAAGATGTCCGAATCAACCATAAAGTTACAAAACAAGAGGGAGACAGGTGAAAATCATTCAGGCCTTGCCGCCAGCCGCCGATTCTTCACTGTCACCAGGCGGGGAAACGTTGTCATCACCAATAGGGGGAGGATAGTTATAAAGGAAGCTCAAATCAAACTCAGGACGCTCCTTCATGATCAGGTCGACAATTTGTTGACCCGCAAATTGAAAATCCCTGGTACGGATGTCAGTGAGCTCCTGAGAAGCCTTGAACTCCTCAATAACCTCGGCGCGCCTGGCGTCGAAAGCAAATGCAGCTTTTGCCTCAGCTTCCCTCTTCCCCTCAGTTTTTCCCTCAGCAAAACGCTTCCCCAGTTGCTTCAGACAACCTTTTGTCAGACAGGTCCGCCCACTCTTTGAGACTCGCGACCTCGTTTGTCAACTTTTGTAGTTCATCTTCCAAACTCGCCAGCTTGGCCAAGGCCAAGTCCCTCTTCTCAACGGCATCATCTAGCTTCTTTTTGGCGTCAGAAACAAGGGACTGAAGCCTGGCCTCCAGTTCGTCCATCTCATTTTTACGCTCCTCAACCTTGACGAGGTCAAGGAGGTTGAGAATGGAAAGAACCAGGCTCTGAAAAGTTGAAGGTCAGAAAAGCAGAAATACAGAACGACGAGCTCTTAAAAAAAAGAAAAAAAAAAGAAAAAGAAAGGGGGAGAGAGTTTTACATGGATCTGGAAGGAAATCTGTTTTTGCTGACGGTCGACCAAAGAAGATTGGGCGGCAGCAACCCAATGTGGCTCAAGAAAAGACTCATAAAGAGCCTCAAAGACGAGGGAGAAGCGAGGGGGAAGTTTCAGCATCGCCCCAATCTCGGCATCAGAAATATCTGGGAGTTGGAACTTGGGGTCCAAAATTTTAGCCCCTGGAATAAGCACGCGCTCTCTCGGCGGCAGCGGAATGTCGACGTTGAGAATGGGGACTGTCGGCGTCCACGTTTTTACCACCGGCGTTTTTTCCCAGCGACTCTTTTCCGTACAAGTTCCGCCTCCGACCCCGAAGGACCCTTGGTCTTCCTGCTCTTTGGGATGCGGGAAGAAGAAGCTTTCTCTTTTCCCTTCGACGAGGGCGGATGGCTCAGCGGGGGCTGTTGGTCTGACGGTGGCTGCTGGCTCGGCCCAAACTGCTGGCTACTAGGAAGTTGGATCCTTAAAGACGCCATCTCTGCAGGAAACGATGAGGTTAAGATACAGTCAGCATTAGAAGAGCCCAAGTCACAATAAAGAAAGGCGTCGAAAGCAAAGAATACCTTCGTCGTTTAGGTGAAAGTATTGACGGACGGCGTCTAAATCAGTGGGGTCTAGGAGATCAAGGATTAAACCAGCGTCGCGAAGGTTTTTCTCGGTCAGAAGCGTTTCGATATGGCGAACATCTGACGAAAAAGAAAAATCCTTCTCAATCCTCACCAAGCTGTTCGCAGAGAACTTCGGCTGGTCCTGACTGACTATAACGCAAATGGAATGTCAGTAGAAGGACGGGAAAAATCAAAGTCAGATAAAAGAAAGCCAAAAGACTTACCCATATTCCCAAACGCCGCCTGCACCTGCCTTTGACGGGGCAGGCGGTCGTTGGGATGAAAGTTGAAAGGCTCCCGAATCATGAAGAACATGGGCTTCCACCCATGTGACGACGAGGGAGTGCCCAGTATAAGCTTCCCAAATCTTGGCTGGGACCTCCCGTGACCACTCAAAAAATACCACCCCTCACACTTGGTGACGTGGCATAACTTATACATGAATCGGAACTCATCTACAGGGAGTTCCATGTCGAATTGATGGTGCCATAAAATCCAGGCCCTAGTGAAGTAGTACCAGAAGTTTGGCGCCAGCTAAGCGGGGGAAATGTCGTAAAAGTGGCAGTAGTCTTTTACAAAGGGGTGAACTGGGAAGGTCATCCCCGCGGTGACAGCTCTAGTATAGACCGAAAGGTATCCGGTCGGCGGCATGTTGGTTCTAAAATGCACGTCCGGAAGAAGGTATTCAAACCACCTCCCGTCAATGCACCCTTTCTTCACAGCCCAGATGATATCCTTGTTCCGGACCCTCGACGCCACAACGTCGGCTGTGAAGAAAGGCCTATCTGGTTCACCACTCGTGGCAGCCAGAGGGGCATCTACCATCGAAGCAGCCACCTCGCTTACACTGCCCCCCATGAAGGGGATCCATTCTACTGCCGCGTCCAAAATTCACTCAAAGCTGTCAAATTCACTACCAAAGCTATCGCCTGGTGCGTATCTGGCTTCTTGTCCAGCCCCGACGTCTTCTATGTCTCTCAGCACGGAGTCGACGCTGGAAGACGAAGAAGACCAGGAGATCTCCACTACAAAGGTGGGGTCTGGGCGGACGACAGGAGAATCCTCTCGACTGAGGGAACTTTGGGCCATTGTTCTGGTGATTAAACAGACAAGAAGCTAAGTTAAAACCCTAATGTCGAGAGGATGAAAGGATGGCTATTCTAAGCAACGATAGCTCAAACGCCTCGACTTGGCACCGACCATTCATATGAGAATGGTAACGGCGAGTGCTCATAGGATTCCAGGTTCCCCAGAACCCGAAAACTGGAAGCGTACAGACAGCAAGGAGATGACATCCAAAGCGAAACAACGAAACGGAGTAAGTCTCCCTAAGTTCTACAGTACATTCTTTAGACATATACACATAGTTCAAACAAAAAGAAAAGAAGGAGCATGTGTCTAAAAACAACAGACAGAGGACCAAAAAGCCTTACCGGAGAAGAAGGATTCCCGGGAAAGTCTGGACGGAAGAACGGCTTCGCGGTGCGCCTCGAAGAGCAGGGAGCACGAACCGGAGGTTGGGGAGGAATGAGTCCGTCGGAGGAGGCGGTAGTCCAACAGGTGCGAAAAGAGTCTGAAGTTTTGAAAAAAAATGGCTCTCGAGTTTATAGAGGGTATTTAAAGGGACGGACATCCTCGACCCTGACCGTCAGATGAAAATCTTAAAATCCAATGGCCAGGGAATCCTGCCCGGATCGGACGGTGATATGATAGGGCGGGAAGCAGAGAGGTCGCGATCCAAAGGCCCATATTCGTTCTTTCAAAATAAAGCCATACGTTATCATGAGAAATCAATCGACGCGACGGTTGCGTTCCCCGAAGGATATCCGAAGCACCTAGGCCATCATTGCAAACGGAGGCTCGGGACCGATTTCCCACACCCAAAGCACAAAAGGGCAACCGAACCTAAGTCCGAGGCCACCCAAAACAAGCCCTCAACCTGGGGGGTAGCTGTTGTGTGGAAAAATGTGACGGACACGTGGACAAAGTAGACCACGACACGTGGTCTTGACTAAATCCCTACCAAGCAAGGAACCCTCGACGCTTACGGACCCCCCCTATTCCACTGCGAAGGCCCAAGGACGAAGTCCAAGTTAGGGCGACGATCCTATTGGAAATGTGTTCATAAAGTAGGATGTAATTTGTTATTTGTGAAATGACAAATGTCAGACATTATTGCTTCGCTGATTTTATAAAATAAAATAAAGTTATGTTTTGATACATATTCAAGAGTGTTAGTGATATTGCTTAGTCCATAGACTGTTATCAACGAAAGACGAGTCAGGGAAACCCTGCCGGACAAACTCTTCTGATATAGTTTAAAATAGATATTCGCAGTCGTAGGATCGATTGGGCAATCGAATCCGATTATGACTGTTAGATCGAACCATATGATGCTGGTCTCGGGGCATGGGAGTTGGACTCTGTGGTTGATCTAGACATGTTCACAACATGTTGAATAGACCATGTGACTGATTAGGTTAGAGTAAAAACCGTTTACAGAACTCTAAACCTAATTGTCACAACTTAAGTATATTTGTATAATTATCTCAATCCTGAAGTGAATACATAACTCGACTTAATTTCTCATGATTTTTGATTCACCAGTGAGATTAGTTCACAGTTTTTGAACAACATCTCGACTATTGGGATCATGACAAAATTGAGTTGGAGTTATGTGATTCACAGATATGGAATTCGTAAGAAATAA